CCTGTAATAATTACACCTATGCTTGGTCTCTACACATAGCTCCATCTCATTCATCTATAATAAAGTATTTTCAATTGTAAGCAAATAAAATTACTTGTTTTTATTTGTGTCTTTTTATAATTAGAAATTTGATAACCTAATTGAAGCAATTTTAACTGCTATCCTTTTTTTTATGTTTCCTTTATTTTATCACTGACACTGTGACAGTTAAGATTTCAAAACAAGGTTTACAAGCACACAGAGCATTACCAATTTCCTCCTTCTTACCTTCATCAGACGCCATCTTAGTCAATAATTATAACTCTGTCTGTAACACATTTGATCTTAGTTTCCTTTCATATCTGAAAAAAAGAAGTAATCTGTTTACCTTTTCTGAGTACATTCACATTCAGACTTAACTTACAATATCTAAAATTAATACTTATATTTATACATTTATTGATGTATTGTTTAAGGATAAAACTACATGTACTAGTAGTACAGTAGTAGAAAGCGATTTTCTGACGGCCATTCATTGTTGGGCAATGTGGATCAACTGGGAACCTGCTGAAACACAACAGAAACCACTCACATTTATCATTCATTGATTTTTATTATATATTTTAATATATTTATATTTATTTTTAGATTTAACATCTTGTATTTTTTTCGTCTGCCTAGATAATTTTGGCGAAAATCAGTGTGCTAAATAATTTTTTTTCTGCCATTCTCTGACGATCTTTACCAAGTTAACTAAAACCAATTTGCTAAAAAAGCCTAAGCAAATGTAATGAATGCTGCCCTCAATTTGAAGCTTGTGACGTAATTGGTGGATGGGTGTGGCCCATATAAAAGCAAAGGAAAACGAATGGTGGTGTGACGAGGCGACAGCGCTTGCCCGCCATTGCACCACGGGCGAAGAATGAAAATCTCAAATATAAATTTCGGATTTAATTTTACAATAATTACTCATATTAGGCCTATATATTTACAAACAATAAAACTGTTTAATGAAAATGCTGCAATGTAATAGTATGCTCCTTTACCTATGAGTGAGACTACGCCAGCCCAGGTTGATAATGTGGTAACCTACATACACAGAACAAGAGAGTAAATCTAAAGCTCGTCTAGCCTACACCACAAGTTCTGGAAGCCTTTCTAAAAAGGTGTGAACGAGTTGAAAATATAATCGGAAGTCAGAATTATTACCTTAACCTTACTTTTTTGAGTATGATTGCCATATAGGCATTAAAGACAGCTTTATAAAGCCATTAAATTACATAACGTCGCCCACTTCCTCTAGATTTACCACCGTAGACCCCTCGCCGATCAGGAAGGATAGAATAGATGAAATGTGTGGCGTGACGTATTCCACCATAATAGTCTTGTATTGTAGGCCTGCCAACCAATCAGTGACGGTTCTGTGGGTAGCTTTGATGATTGTTCGTTAGTAAAGGAAGGCATCGGCCCTCTAATAATTATATCAGGGGCGGATTTAGGGGGGGGGGCGGCCCGGCCCCGGCCAAAAAAAAAAAATTTTTTTCAATATTTCACACAGAGGCACCTCACAAGACACAGAATTTGAATCAGGAGCCTCCAAACGTAGTAATACAATTTATCTGCAGCGTGGCAGTGTAAATGTTCACAATAAGAAAATTAAGTAAAGTAGGCCTATATGATATGAATAATAATGATCAAAATTAAAGGGAAATATAGGTATATATATAATATATATATATGTATATATATATATATTATATTATACCTATATTATATTTTTATATGCCGATTGTTCATTTTTTGTTGCTATGTAATATTTTTATGCTGCCATTTTAGTTAAGATATAGTTTGGTATATTTTTATATAAATTTTGGTAGGTCTTCCTGATTAGATTTCATAATAGCGAAGGCATATAATTATACAGTTTTCTCTCGACTTTTATTCATATGTTATATGCTGCTTGTTTATATCTGACTCATGCTTTATTTGGCTATATTACCGTATCTCTTGTATTTTGTGTACGCACTAAAGTTTAAACTCAGGTCGTTAAATTAAATGCGAATGAAGACATCCGCCATTTTCTCTTTCTAACCATCATTACATAACATAACACATGGAAAAAAATACCGGATCTAATTGGCAATCAAGATTTATGCTTATCTAAATGAAAGTAATTAATTAATTAATTAAAATTAAATGTATTTTGGACTGTTCAAGTTTTTTTCTTAGCAAAGAAATTGAAGATATTTTTGATAAATTTTGTTAAGAAAAGGGTCTGGAAATTTCGCAATGAAATTATTAATTCCATACCTTTGTTTCTGTAGTACCGCTTACTTTAATGTATATTGCTCCTATATTTTTGTTCTCTGCATTGCTATTCTTTCTAATTTGTTTATTTCAAATTTTTACTGTAAGATCTGTTGTAGTGTGGGTGGATAACTACTGAGCTATTTCTGTTCAAGTCCATAATTGAGTTGGGGAGGGTTTGTTTGTGAATGTTAATTTTAGCCTGTATGTTAAGAAAGAGAAGAAATTTTAATATCAACGGGTCAATTCTTAATCTTTTAACTTCTCGTAGTTGGCTGGGGACTGGGGTGGGGAGTGGGTGGGATTAAATTGTATCTATCGGAATGTTCTTAGTGTTGTTGTGCGAGTACCGTAGGTAAATGACTTTTCTGTTGAAGTGTATATGAGGCTGTGGGCTAATACCGTACTATATTGCGGATTGCCTAGGGGCCCGTGGAGGTACGGGTGTGGGCTATGGGGAGAAGCGTAATTTTGATATGATTTAGACTATACTAAGTGAAGTAAGATTTCAGCAAAATAAAATACAAACTATGCAAGTTATCAATATTAATGCTAAAAGATTAGGCCTACGCCTATCATATAAAATAGAAAAAAACCATAATGATGCAAGCATTAGTAGTTATGATAATATAAAATAATGTTAATGGATGATGATGATGATGATGATGATCATTATCATTATCATTATCAAAGTATTCATCACTAATAAAATACAATGATAATAAATAGATGGCAAATATTCGCTTTGGTAATGACAGACAAAACAAAAATATATGCTAAAACCCTTTCTATTGGAATGCTTATTTAATGATACGTTAAGTCAATTAATATGTCAATCAATCAATAAATCTTTTAATTGTGTTATGGCGGAGAGCATCAGCATAATCGTTTGTATCCACGTCCGCTGCATCACTGCTCTTCCTGTAGCCAGCTACCTCTTCCGATCTGAGTCTCTGGTATATCTAGGCCTATCGTCGAACACACTTGATCTTCCTTGACATGGTTGTCTTAAAGAAACTAGAAATGCGTTGGTTATTTTTTAATGACACTACTATGGTCTAATGACAATTTTAAATTTACAATGTATACTATATTGAGATAAAAACTGGCAATATTAATTTTTTTTTTTTAAATCAAGACCTTAATTGACTAAACATAAAACAAACTTGTGTTTCCTTTGCAACAGCTTAGTTAAAAATATCAAAAGGATAAAACTACATGGAAATCACAAGACGAAACAACCGGCCGGGACGGAGAGTGCCGACTTCCCAGCATAAAAAGCTGATAGTATGAGTAGGCGGGGCCAGGGCAGACCAGAACCCGACAGAATGTTCCAATAAATTAAAGATTTTAAAAGGCATTTTTATCGATTTTAGAGTGTCACTTTATGTAAATATTACATAAAGTTGTTTATATTTTTCCCTTAAGAAATGTTTTGTCCTCGACGGAAGGGTGGGATGGGGTATTCCTCTCCATCCCATCCCCATGCAGCACCACTGATCATGGTGTGCATTCCCTGCCCCCTCAGGAGCCCTGGCGGAGAAGAAAACATTTTTATGTATTTTTTATACTAGCTATAAAATCGATTAAAACGTCAACAAATTCCCAAAGATTTTTTTTATCAGAGACTTAATAACACGTGTTTCATGGCATAACTCCATTTTACCACTTTATATAATAGTGATTTTAATTCATTTTTAATAATCATTTTTGTATGACTACATCCTTTCTAAAACACTTGGAATAATTTAAATTATAATCATCATCATCATCATTATTAAGAATAATAATATTTGTTATTATAGTAATAATTTCGTGGTCATTGTTTTGTTCTACAATATTACAGGTTTGGTAGCAACCTCCCAATGTTACCAATGACGAACAGAAGAACTACTTGGAAAGTAGTCACAGCTGCTTAATGATGCGTGTGCTACACAGTTGTATACTACCAGGGAGTTGTTTCCCTGATACTACTCTACTGTATTATAATTACATTATAAGATTTGTTGGTTTTTCTATTAAAACAAATAAAATAAAAACCTCACTTTACATTTTACCTCAACCTCAATTTGTTCATATTTTATTCTTATTTTTTAAGCAGTTTCAGCCTCAGTGTTCTTATAAAATGTGTTCCTATATCCCACTTTCTCCTTTTTTTTTTATGTAACCCAATGAATACGGGAACCAGTATACATAGAGCCCTCTTCGGTTAAAGTAATAATTTAACTGTTTCCTCATTAAGAGTGACAGTTATTGTGACCATGGTACGGGACGTCGTTTGGGACACTGCTAATTATGTCTTTATAAACAGGGCATTCTGTTACTGTTACATTACTGTCAAACTACTATGTGTACATAATTAATTCTGTTGTTACAGAAATAATTATGTACCACAAAATTATTACTGTTACACTATTATGTGTACATAATTAATTCTGTGGTTACAGAAATAATTATGTACCACGGAATTATTGCTGTCATACTAATGTGTACATGATTAATTCTTTGTTAACAGAAATAATTATGTACTAAATAATTACTTTCTAAATATTCTGTAGTGCAGAATCAAGTCTGTACTACATAATTTTGTTTCTGACACCACAGAATTATTGTACACATAATATTTTGACAGTATTGTTTCTGTGGTACTGTACACAATTATATCTGTAACAACAGAATGCCTATTTAAAGACATAAATATCAACGTACCAAACGGCGCCACGTACTATGGACCTATGCCCACATTCCTGTTTACTTGTCGCATCTCCAGCGCATGGATAAGAGCTATATTCAATTTTCATCGTTTATAATTCACATTTTATGTTTAATCCGGCCTGTACGACTGGCTCTTTTTAGGTAAGATTTGTGTTTTAATTATTGTTTAAATTTTAGTTTAATTAAAAGTATGTTGATGTTAATATTAAACAAAACATATTAGTATAGATGTATAATATTACAGTACTCTTTTTTAAATATGCAGTTAATAGCCATTTGCTTTGGCCAAATGCCAAGAGAAGAAATGTTGAAGGACGTTTTAGGCAAAAGCACAGTTAATTGTATCTGATTATCACTTCGAAATATATCTTTACCATAAGATAAGCTAAATAATTACTCTGATTAATAAAGGAAGTAATGTTATTATGAGGTCTTGTATCACGCTATGCGATAACCAATGTTGAAATGTTAAGTTTAATTATAATTCTATTTTCTCTGTAGTTTAATTAACTTAGCTAAATTTTAAAGCCGTATTCGTTATTTGTAATTAGTATTAGTATTTTAGTCGTTATTACCGTATAATTATTATTATTATTATTATTATTATTATTATTATTATTATTATTAACAATATTATTAGCTGTTTACTGTTTTTCTATTATATCTAAAGACATGCTATTTTATAAAACTAAGTTCATTTACTCTGGTATGATCAAGTATGATTGATATTCCTAAATCAAGTAATACATAATTCAGGGTGATACCGTTTGCAATTGGAGCCTATGCGCTTTTATGGTGTCGCATTCGCCGGACTAGCCGAATGGATTTATGACGTCACGGTATTATTAATTTGTGTTATGATTTTGAAACGATTTTAATTATGAATAGATTCATATTATGTTCACCGGTTAATTTTGATTGTACCATGAATTGGAATACAATATTGTTAATGTATTATTTTGTGCTAAGTGTAAAACATATTCTCTTTTTAGATTTCTAGATTGATGATGAGTAAATTTCCGGAGTAAATATAAATTTATTTGGAGACCGTATTATTCATTTTATTGAAGAAGAAGGGCTACATTTAGTTGAGAATTTCTAACCTTAAATCATAGTGTTTTCTAAATACTTAACTGAAAAAGTACAATGCCAACAAAAATGGCTAATTTTATTAAAGAGCGCCCTCACCTATATAATATAATGCATTCCTTGATAAATAAAAAAAACATATCGTAACACCAATTTACGTCGGTTCAGCAATACACAAGTGATTGACTGATTAATTAATCGATTGATTGTCAATTCGTTGATATACAAACTGTGACATCAGTCAAATGAGATTTGCAGTCGACCGCTGTTATAAGTATTATCATATTTTTATAAGACTGGATTAAAGTTGATTTTCTGAACAACTTTCATCATGGGCTCCCTTCAACCTGTCGATATCGTCATTATAGTTCTTCACTTCTGCGTTGTATTTGGAATTGGTATTTGGGTAAGTGGACTTAAATATACTATATTATTGTATTAATATTTTATTGGAAAAACACCTTTGTGATATATAAAAATGATAGCATGCTTTAAAAAAAAAACGTGCAGTGATACATGGTCACTGTTGGGATTCGAGCCCAGGCATTCAAATAGAGATGCATGCTATATAAAACAGAAATCTTCCAAATTATCCATCACCAACGGAATTAACTCATTTTTCTTTAGTCTGAAGAACACAAGGACTAATAATAGAAACAGTGAACACGACTAGTTTTACTTATGGCATTTGTGAGTTGTGATCTCGCCAACTGCTGCTTAATTGCCAGTGGTCTCAGTCACCTTCTCTGCAATAGTCTGTCTCTTCTGACTTTTAGTTTCTGTGTAGCCAGGATAGCTGTCTCTTATACACATCTAGATGTGTATAAGAGACAGCTTTTATGGTGTCGCATTCGCCGGACTAGCCGAATGGATTTATGACGTCACGGTATTATTAATTTGTGTTATGATTTTGAAACGATTTTAATTATGAATAGATTCATATTATGTTCACCGGTTAATTTTGATTGTACCATGAATTGGAATACAATATTGTTAATGTATTATTTTGTGCTAAGTGTTATACATATTCTCTTTTTAGATTTCTAGATTGATGATGAGTAAATTTCCGGAGTAAATATAAATCTATTTGGAGGCCGTATTATTCATTTGATTGAAGAAGAAGGGCTACATTTAGTTGAGAATTTCTAACCTTAAATCATAGTGTTTTCTAAATACTTAACTGAAAAAGTACAATGCCAACAAAAATGGCTAATTTTATTAAAGAGCGCCCTCACCTATATCTGTCTCTTATACACATCTGGTATTAACATGGTAACATCAATGTATTTTAAAAAATTAGACAGCG